TAGAATTAAGGCAGTTCTGAAGGCGAAAAGGGGTCAAACACCGTAATAGTATGGTGTTCCTAATAATCCTTTAGGTGAGTGTATATATACAGCAACTTAAACAAAAAATACAAGCCTACATTTTTACTATGCAAGTAATATTATATATAAACCTTGCAATACTTGTGTAGTACATACAGACACACAGATATCCACTTCACGTGGTCCTATGGTTACTGCTTGCACACGAACAGAGTGTCTTCCTTACGAGATCATGGTGCTGGGCACCACCAGCTCGTCCACTAGCTGGCTGAGGTGGCTCCGCACAGCCTGGCGGTTCTTCAGCCGCACGTTCATGCTGACCGACTGCTGCTGCAGCGTCTGGATCTCGCTGCTGATGGAGGAAAGGTCACTCTGGAACCCGCTGAGCATTTCTTCCATGCGCTGGCCAGAAGAGGAGAGAGGAAATGGTTCTGCACACATGGTAATCAACATGATTCCATTACACAAGCAGTGTTTTCTTAATTGCCAGTGTAACCCTTAAACAATAGCCACTCTTTTCCCTACAGTTCCCCTTCACAAAACACACCCTTTATCATACAAACACAGACATAGACCTGTATTCATATCTTTCTGGGGACCATCCATTCATTTCTATGGGCAAAACACTAATCCCTACAATGACAACCTTATCCCATACCCAGCCCTAATCTTAACCATAAGTAACCAAACAAAATACAAGTATTTTGGATTTTTTTTGTTGTCTATTGCAGTCACAAATTTTTATATAATTGAATTTCCCATTGTGGGGACCAAAAAAAATGGTCCCCACAAAGTCAAAGTAACAGGTTTTTATCACATTGTGGGGACATTGGGTCCCCACAATGTAATGTATACCTGGACCACACATATATACACACACACCATTTCTGAATGACACGAAGATCTCAGACACTCTCCTACCTCGAGTATAGAATCACAGGCTGTGATCTGGTTGTGGAGAGAGGCAATATTCTGGCTTTCCTTAATATCTGGCACAGGATGAGTTACAGATTGTACTTCTTACATGACATCTAATGCATATTATTTCAATCACTCAGTCACATAACAAAAACTGTGAAATTCCCTCAATCCTCTTTCCTTTAGTGGGAAAAACTTTAAGGATACAGTCCTTGATTGAAGCCTGCTCAATGCGCTGCAGTTCTGTTTCCACCTGCTTGGAGTACTGCCTGAGGTCTACACCCTACAAAAGTCATAATGGCTATATTGAAACCTTTTACAGTAATGCATTATGTCACAAGGGTTTAGTGCCATATTTGGGAAATGTCAGCAGACAAGAGGTTCTGACTCACAGTTTTCAGTGCTTCTTTCACCAAATCATCTTCAAGATTGGCTTGAATATGAACTGTAAGTAGACAAAACATGAATTCAGCATCGCCAAAAATGCGTTGAGTACCTAAACTGGTCACCTACATGGATCAAGCATACTTCAAATGATCAGAGAAATATATGGTATACTTACTGTCCACTTCATCCAAGATAAATTCATCTGTAGTTAGATCTAATTCTCCCAGGTTGATAGTTGGGAGCGTCTCATATTCAGATTTAATCTACATAAAATTAGAAATATATTGTCAGGTACTTCATACAAATTATTTGCGACGTCTTGCGTCATGCTCTTACTATATGGCTACAAAATTTTACAAGTCAAATGCTCTAAAATGGTCAATTATTCCTTGAATAAAAACAATTAAATCAACTACAAGCTGCATAAATTACACAGACATGACAGTCCGGTTTTTCAGATAGCCAGAAAAGATGTAAATGCTTACAAACTACCTAAATGAACAGAAATGAAACTGACATGATACTTGACAACAGCGATTTTCATTTAACGAAAGCAAATGTTCATTGCATGACATCGTTAGTGACACTTAACGGTAAATAACAGAAAAACAAATGTTAAATACCTCGTCTTGTAAATATCCCATAACGTTAGCCGTTAAGCTAACAGCTGTGTTTACATCCGAGCCAGAGTTGGTTTCTACTGCCTCCGCCATTGCTGTCACCGACCGCCGTCCAAGCGTCTGAGTAAACTAAATAAAGTACCCAGAGTTAATGTTTCATCTAACTAATGGCGCGCTAAACTTACACAGAAAAATATTATGCCCGCATATGTCTTAGACAAATACAAGCTGCAGCTTGCAAAAAAAGCAACATCAATTATAAAAAAGTGGACAATGGTGTTTCCACACGAACAATTTCCCGGCACGGAATCACTTCCGGCGTAAATCCTCTGAAATGATATAATTGTCTCGCGAGATATCGTGCGCTTCCTCTTCGAAACGGAATCTGCCTCTAAGATGGTGAGTGTGAGAATTAGGCAGTAGTATGAAATATGAAATATCTGGTTTCATCCATTCTATATGAAATCCTACGATGTGAATAAAAGTATGAAAATGTTCCCAAAACTGTGTTTTTCAATTTTTGTTGATTATTAGTTGGGTAGGAACTTACGGTGCAAAGAAATGCACTTTAGATAGTTGCCTATGAATTCGGTGCAGTGTCAGGCCGCCTCCATTTAATGTAATGAAACGGGATCTCACTTTAGTTGCCTTTATGGCACATTGCATAAGTAACCCCTACAAATAAAAATGCGTTTTAATTTGTAATTATTACCCCTGCTTCCAACTGTCTGTAATTGAACATAGTGAAATACTCACGTGTCCTACACAGGTTTACTTAGTCATTGGTATATCTTGGGTTAATTTGGCTGTTTCGCTGTGTGTATGTGTCATGATGTTTGCTTTGTTTTACTTTTTAGTCTCTAGTGATTCCTGAAAAGTTTCAACACATCCTTCGTGTTCTTAACACGAACATCGACGGGAGGAGGAAGATCGCCTTCGCCATCACTGCCATCAAGGTTCGTGTTGCCGAATGACTGCCCACTGCAAACCGGACGATGTGTAAATGTGAAGGATTTTGTAACAAACCGAAGGAGATATCTCACGTTTCGGATCCCTTGCAGGGCGTCGGTAGGCGATATGCCCATGTCGTTCTCAGGAAGGCCGATATTGACCTTAACAAGAGGGCTGGCGAATTAACTGAGGATGAGGTACGATTTGGGGCATCATAGTTTGGTGGAGACTTGCAGATTCCAGCGTCGTGGCGAAATCATCTGTTAAAACAATACCCTGACTTTTTCCGGTAGGTTGAAAGGGTCGTGACCATTATGCAGAACCCACGCCAGTACAAAATCCCTGACTGGTTCCTCAACAGGCAGAAGGATGTCAAGGATGGCAAGTACAGCCAGGTATGTTGGTGTAGTTTGAGAAAATAGCCCTTCATGAACAATTAGTTTATCTATAAGCCCTACACTCATCACCTTTTTGCATATTTTAAATTAAAGGTTACCAACTGCACAGGTAGTCACCTTGTGTTAATGTGAATTGAGGAATAAACAGTACATTTTATCCAGTTTAATCCTCCTCCTCTCTGAATGCTTGATTGTATACTAAGCGGATCTACCTAGAATTGATTGTATTATAAAGCATATTTGGGAGCCTTACATTACTTAAAGTATATAAATGCTTTGACAGATTCTTGCCAACGGTTTGGACAACAAACTGAGAGAAGATCTGGAGAGGCTGAAGAAGATCAGGGCTCATCGTGGTCTCAGACACTTCTGGGGGTAAGAATCATTTGCTGGATTTGTGGTTTTTATATTATGGCTTCATTTTTGTAATTGAAGTAATGTATACCTCTAACCTTAGCTCTGAATCAAAATAGTGCATCAAGATTGTTTAAAGCAGGTTGAAATTTGGAACGGGCAGATGTGAAACTGGGTGATCGGAGTTGTAATAGATTTAAGCAGCACAGGTAGTGTTGAAACTCTTGCTTCAGATTGTTTGCAGGAGAATTCAGTCCTTAAATTCTCTGAATAATATTGAACTCCTAGAAAATGCTAGTTTTCTATCAAGCCATATCATGTGCTGCTTAGTGTGTATTCTTTCAGAACATGTACTTGATTAGCAATGTGCCTTGGTTGGGGGTGTATTTGCGGAAATGAGTGGAATTCACAGGCCGTCTTTCTCTTCACAGTCTGCGTGTGCGTGGCCAGCACACGAAGACCACCGGCCGCCGCGGTCGCACCGTTGGTGTGTCCAAGAAGAAGTAAACTCATTGTCTTTGTCAATAAACACCACAGTTCACTGTCTTCTTGTCTAGAGTCTTTGTTGCGTGTCCCTGTGTTGGGCACTTGGATTTCAGTTGTGGTTACCTTACATTACTGATATTGACAACTTTTTTGTGGTTGAACAAATGGGATTTATGGATCTGCTTGTTTTTTTGACCTTGTTGAGAAGTGATTTAGACCAGTGCATGTAGTGTTTTAAGAACCAATACCATTATTACTGTGCTGATTATTGGTAAAAGTTTATTCTATCATTGTGAAATGGGTACATGGTAGAACTTGATGTTCCTGGTTATCTAGAATAATCACCGTATGTTTTGCTCAAACTGCGCTCTACACAAGATATTAACTGTTCTGAACCGGATTTCCGATCTTGTCAAACAAATGGCAAATGACAGTTTTAGGTAATGGAAATCGTGCTATATTTAAAATATTAATCTCTATTTAGTAGTCTTCACAAATTAAGCAGTTGGTTGCTAGCCAGTTACTGCAGTTAGATAATTCCACCAGCCCACTGTGCTAGTTATGTCAGTTGAGCTATAACCTCCAACATGTACTGTAGCAGTTTGCTATGGTTTGAAACCAAAGAGGAGAATTGCTCCCTCCAGATTGGGGATTAGTTACTGCCTCAAGTGCAGAAGTTAGTATCGAGGTCTTAAGAGTGCAGGAAGAATAGAGCGGGAGATGGACAGGTGGATCAAAGCAGTGTCAGCAGTTATGTGGATGTTGTACCATTCTGATGCAGTAAGAGAGGCTGAGCCGAAAGGTGAAGCTATTGATTTACCCCTTGATCCATGTTCCTACTCTCACCTATGGTCACAAGTTCTGGGTAGTGACTGGAAGAATATCTGGGTAATGAGCTTTCTTCATAGGGTGTCTGGGCACAGCCTTAATCGCAGGGTGAGGAGCTCAGACACATGGGAGGGGCTTAGAGTAGAACCACTGCTCCTCCTCATCAAAAGAAACCAGATGAGGTGGCCTGCATATCTGGCTAGGATGCCTCCCCAGAGAGATATTTCAGACGTCCTTCCAGGAGGAAACCCTAGGGCAGACCCAGGACATGCTGGAGCAACATCTCAGCTGACTTGAGGATGCTTGGGTATGTTTAGACTGCTGCCCATCAACCTGACCCCACATAAGCAGAGGACAACAGATGGTGGAACTTCTAAATTCATAGGAATAGAGCCATTCTGATGACTCAGTTCCAAAGTGTTACTATAGTTTTCACACCAGCCTGAAGTTTGAGCTTAAGAACAGCCCAATACACAAAGATGCACATGTACTTGAGATCCAGTGCTTCAATTTCAAATGTGAAATGTATAAGATGCCGTTAAGGAATGACCGTTCGAGCCTTCATATTGACTGACAGACAAAAAGTGTACGGTGTAAAAGCATCAGGAGAGATTTAATGGTCAAACTTAGATGCAATTGCAAACTTCCAGATCTCATTTTGGACAAATCTCAAACCTGGAGAGATCAGGCAGACATGCAGTTTTATTGACGCACCGTAACTGCAAAATCAGTGTTAATTCCAGATGCAGGATGAGATCACCAATCCATCACAGTGTACTCAGGCAGCATCAAGACTGGAGTACCCAGCCGAAACCGGCAGAGCAAGTTTGGGGCAGATTTACTGAAATAAAACTCTTTAAAAAAATCTCCTGTATAAAAGTCAGACACGGCTCGATCAATCTGATATCAGACCTTCAGTTAAAAAGATGCAGTTCGCATCTTACAAAATTTATGAGGCCACAACTAGAGACATTTCTCCACCCAGGAGTAAGGGAATCCCCAGATTTCGAAATTCAGTCTAAAAGCAAATTTGCTGCTCACATATAATCTACGGACTGTCTTTCTGTAAATACATTGACTGACTGATGAAAGGTGACCCTGGTGAAAAATGCAACAGCAAAGCAACATTTTCACCATGGTGACTAAGTACTGAGGTACCTCGAGGCTGTCTGTGGGTAACCATCATTGCACAGATCACCAGGGAAAAGGGGGGGGGGGCAAAGCAGAAACTTCACAGTGAGTAGAACCGGTTGATGCAGTAGGAGAGAGCTTGTGCACACCTAAGGTGACAGTATCAGTTAATGTAGTACTTAGGGCGTAGTAGAAAAAAAATCCATCCATAACGCTTATCCGGTACAGGAATGGGCTGATCCTGGAGCCCACCCTTGGAAACACTGGGCGAAAGGTAGGGGATTATGTCAGAGTAAGCTGACTGTTCAGAGTAGCTTAAGCCAGTGTTTCTCAAACCAGTCCTTGGGGACCCCCAGACAACCCACATTTTTTGTTCCCTCCCAGCTCTCGGCCAAGCAA